GGGGGGGGGGGGGGGGGGGGTGTCCATGGGGGATGCCCAGCGATTCCACCAAATCCAAGTCTGTATATGAAATATACAGAATATGAATATTAATATGAATATTGCCCGAAAATTTTTTCGAAGTTCAGCTTTTTTTTTCATCTGAAATTGGATTCCATTTAGGAGGTACTCTCAGTTACAACTTTTAAAAATATTCCCCCCAATATCCTCATATATAATACAAAAAATGCTGATTGCTTTTGGGACTTCTTCTCTTGAATTCAAGGCAATTAAAACGATGAATTTGTATTTTCATATTCGGTCACACCCGCTCGGTCACATGGAACGGAGGGGGGGGGGAGCGAAGCGAGCAGGAACCGGGGGGGAACCCCCTCCCCCGGGTTAGTGAGCGAAGCGAGCAGGGAGCGCAGCCCCCTAGTAATAATAATAATAAAAATAGAAAAATCTAGAGAATCCGCTGGAAAATTCGATTGGATTTCTGTTGAATTTTCCTTTTCCCAGTCAAAGAGATGAACAAATCTAAAGGAAAGCTTAACAAATTTGTTCATTTTCTAGGAACTCGATGCAACGAGTTGAAAGTGATTTGAAAAAGATAAATAATTTTAACCCCCGACCTCCCGCGACCTCCGTTGGTCGCGCTATGAGCGCCGCGCCGCACTTTTTCCGATCTTTTAAATTACACTGCATTAAAGCCTCTGAAAAATTTGAGAAAATTTGACATCTTATTTCGAAGTGTTGAAAAGCCCTATCAATGAAAAAATAGCATAAGTAGTGAAAAAATATCATAAGTAATTAAATTTTCAAATTTTTGTTCCCGAACTCCGGGCCGTGTACCGTGTATCAGGGGAATTTTCATAAAAACATGGCAACTTTGAGCTGAACATAAAAAATCTCACGAGACTTCTTCAAGTATACGATCTATATCACTTTATTTTTTTCAGATTTGTGCTAGATTTTTCGAATTTATCATGATGTCGAGTGTTAAGAAATGTTGAAAAATATGAGATGGTTGGCAGGTATGAACAACATCTTGCTTGGATACCCCCTCCCTCTGCCGGACGGCGCTTCAAAGATGGCGGCGCTCCCACCTCGGATTTTTCAACATTTATTGGAATTATTTATCCTCTTCAGATCACGCTCAACTTGCTTCATTCGTTTTCTATGAAATGAACGAATTTTTTAAACCATTTTTCAGATTTTTCCGTCCTCTTTTGACTGAGAATTAATGGCGCAGAATAATTATCGAATTTCAATAGTTTTTTTTTCATGTTCGTGGCCTCGAGATTAAAATCAAATAAAAAAATATTGAAAGTTGCACAATGAACAAATTAATTATGTCGTTAATATGTCAAGAAATTTTTTCTCAGAAATAGGAGAAAATATCAAGACATTCTTTTGGGTCATGAAATTTCTGAGAAAAAAATGTCTTGATATTTTCTCCTGAAATTCCTCGTCATCAAAATAAATTACACAATTACGAAAATCGTTCGATTCGACGAATCGAGTTAGACCACCTCATTGTACTGAATAGATTCTAAAAATGAATAGCTCGGTGAAATTTTCAATAATAGTACCTTCAACTTTCTCAATTCATCCGACCATTTGCATCCGTCCTTATGATGTATGCAATATACAATTGATCCCATTATAGCTTTCTCTGCTTCGAGATCTTGAAACGTCTGGAACAAAAAAACGCCCTCATTAAGTCACTCTGTTTGAAAAGACAAAAACAAACAAAGTTAATAATACAGCAGCCGCAGATGCGTTTATCATAAACAAAACGATCCCTTCGATCTTTCCAAAAAAAGGGATTCGACGCGGGAGACGCCTCGAGTGGTGCCACGTGGGTGGTCGACCGGACTAGACAGTTTCGGATATTAATGAGTCTATTATTATGCGGACCTCCTCAACGATTATATTTTTACTCCATCGAAATCGAAAATGAAAACAAAACAATGTTGAGCTCCGAAGGAAAACGACAATTTCGACTTCATGAAATCTTTAATATGTTCGGAACGAATGATGCGATTTGATTACGTCAAATATTATTTCGAAGCTTGAAAAAATATCTTCAAAATGAAAAAAGAAAAATTTAAATTCACTCTGTCGATCTCGACTAATTAACAATCTCAGAAGGACTATTTTTCTCCTCTCTTTTTATTCGAATTTTGTTAACAAATCAGTTTTTGAAGAATAACTCCGAAATGAAGCGAGATATCACAATTTTAATGTGAAACTTTTTTGTAGAGGAACTCAAGGGCTACAAGAATGATTTTCATGAAAATTTTGATATCTCCATTAGATTTAGAAATATTTCTTAAAGACGGAATGATGCATTTCGTTTCACCATTTCATTCCGCACATTTGCATGAAAATATCCCCTAATCTATACGAGATATCGAAATTTTCACTTCGGCTTTTTTTGTGCAAAAAATTGAGACCTACAAAAAAGCTTCTAACAAAAAATTCGCCATCTCCCCTAGATGCCGAGATATTTCCAAAAAACTAACTACGGAGTCCACCTTCATCATTCCAAATGGTTAATTCCACTCAATCTCAAGATGTTCTCGATCAATTTGACCTGACCCATTTTGCCCCGGCCCCGGAAATATTCAAATGAATGCTTCTCCCTCCGCATTCGAATGACTCATTCCATTTTACGAAAGAATGATTAACAATACTGAGAGATCCGTGAGCATTTCCTCTCCTGCATATGCAACATCTCTCGAATAATTGACGCGAATATCCCTCCGACATAGATACCAATACCACAAGGTTTATACCTGCTCGACGGGTGGAAACAGGCGCAAACCTGCAAGACCGGCAAGGTCGTAGAACCTGACCGTTGACCGAGGTCCACCTCCCACCGACAATTCAACAACAAAATGCGAAAACTTCATTCAGAAAGCGATGCGACTTCACGCAGAGCAGCATCTCATACAGATGCGGGTGAATTCGCAAACGAAAAAATTTCATAGAACGGTAGCGAATTCGCGAGACAATTCTATTGGATTTCTATTGAAAATTCTATTAGTTTTTTTTATTCTATTGTAAAACGAGATCTATGCGCGCGCTCTCGCGCGCGCTTTTCTATTCGTTTGTTGAAATGAAGAAATGGAATTCATTAAATTTCATTTTCTCATGAATACCTTATAAATATTGATAATCAATTAAAGAGAATTCGACTAATGATTGAAGTGAATAGCGAAGTAGAGTAAAAGAATCTATAAAGAATTTTTCATTTTCAATTAATTGTCTTCAATTTTTTCAAATAATCGGTCCCATAAAAGGACAGAATTTATTAATTTCACCGATAATATATATACATGTGAAATATATATATTATATATATATGACGTGAAAAAAAAATTTATCTCTGAAGAATTTGAAATTATGTCACTGAAGAATTTGAAAATGGCGCGTTTTTTTTGTGAATAACTTCGCGTCACATATTGACCAATGAGAATTAAGGATTAGCGGTCAGGCAGTTTCGAGATATTTCGATATAAAACAACTTCACGTTTCTTTCATCTTTAGTAAAATAGGATAGGATTCCGCAGCTTTAAGTTATGCCCGACAGAAATTCTATTTGATAGAAGAAATCTGTAGAATTTTATTCTTCCATTGACACATTTTCCATAAAAATTACTCGACATGAATTTTTTTAGTTTTTTTCACTCTAGTTTTGTCTCCGATGATGCGGAAAATCGAACAGAATCAGAAAAAGAAAAGAAAACTTAAGCTATAACACTTCTATCGAAAATGTCTCGAAGAAGTAAATTCTATAAATGGAAAAATCAAACTCTATTGGAGTTCTCTTGAACTTCTATTGAAAATTCTATTAGTTTTTCGCCGATTCTATTGAAAAATTCCGCAACTTCACTGCGCGTTTTTTATACTAAATGTCCGGAAGAATCGATTTTATAGAAAAAATCTGTAGAGTTCGATCTTTCTATAGAATCTTTCCTATTGACACATTTCCTATAGAAATTCCTCAGTGTGAATTTTCCACGTTTTTTGCATTCTATTTTTGTCATTTAGGTAATTTGAGCCGAAAAATTTCTATAGAAAATGTCAATGAAAAAAATTGTATATAAAAATGAAATTCTATTGGAGTTCTATTGAATTTATATTGAAAATCGTATGAAAAAATTCCGCAGCCACTGCACTTTTTTTTTAAGAAAATGTCCAATAGAATCTATTCTATAGAAAAAATCAGGAGAATGTTACCTTGTTGTAGAACTTTTTCTATTGTCAGATTTTCTATAGAAGTTCTTCGACATGAATTTTTCAATTTTTTTTTACTCTATTTTTATGTCCGATGATGAGGAAAATCAAACAAAAATAGTTGGAAAATTTAAATTGAAAAATTTCTATAGAAAATGTCAGAAAAAATCAGAAAAATTTAATCTTTCTATAGAACTTTTTCTATTATCAGATTTTCTAAAGAAGTTCCTCGACATGAATTTTTCATTGTCTTTCACTCAATTCTTTTCCTCTCATCGAACAATCACAAAAAACATAAAATTCGAGTCGAAGAATTTCTATAGAAACATCTCTGAGACAAGTTGCACAGAAAAATCAAACTCTATAGATTTTCTCTACAGAATATTTTCTATTCAGCATTTGGACTGAAAAAAAACTTGCTGAAAAGTTGAAGAATTTTTCAATAAAAATTCAATAGACATCCAACAGAATTCCCCAGTGACTTCACGTGTTTCTAAAAAATTTTCTTCTTGTCCATGATATCACCGATGAAATCCACCCGATGCTATTTTCCCTCTTCCATTTCTTCTATTCCAGAATAATTTCAATGGAGAATAGGAAGAGGGACCGAGGGAGACGGACAAATCATGTATTCTGCCTTTCCTGTTGTGCACGCTTGGACTTGCACGACCGGCAAGGTCGAGGAACTTTTACTATAGCCACATCTAGGTGAGAGACGCAATCTCTCTTTCTCCCTCTTTCTCTTCGGAATTTAACCGTCATTTCGTTCCTCGTGTTCTCCGAAGTGAACTTTCGACGAATTCAATTTTACGTTAAAATATCTGGGACATGTTTATGCATGGGACTAAACGATATTCGGATGTGGTATCAATCTTGGAGTCTAATCTGCTGACGTCACGATGGAATAACGGATGGTATACATGGATGTACAGAGGTCTACTTGTATTTATTCTGTCTCTCACAAAACGAATTTTCAAAGTGGTCGATAATTTTCCTCCAAATAAAATCTCCAACAATTTTCTCTGTTATTATTAGGTCACGTTAATTCGATAAATATTCTCATTTTCGATTTTGCTCGAATTGAAGCAAAGTGACTCATGTCCCCAACCAGTGCGAGAAAAAACAATTTTTTTGTCGATTCATGAAATTCCCATGCCGATGACATCCTCAGGCATTTCGAGTGGATAATATTACTCATGATATGGGTATGACGGCATGTAAAAGGTGGTTCCAAACGATGGAATTCCAGGGGGAGGGGAACAATACAACTCGGCTGGTGTGGACTTCCGTTTGCTAAGGAGGAGGACGAGTTTGAGAAGGCTGTGTGTACTCCGGGAAACTTGGGATATGTCGAAGGGCTAATTACCGTGGCACGAACGCGACCTTTATGCTATGTGTAACGCGGAATATACAATACCCCGTTTCGAAGGTAATGCGAGATGTTATCTAACGAGTTGATGGAAGCATGAGGAATTTATTCCGTTCTGTTCGGAGGTTTCACCCTCTACCTCGAGAAGCCTAGAAGCGTGCGCTGGGGCGTTGGGGAGGGGGCAATGCGAGAGCGCGGCGATTCGGTGGAGTGGGGAAACGAGTCTAAAAGCGAATTGATGAAATTGTGGTGTCGCATCGGTTTATGGTGAATATCTCCAAAGTTAGGCGAGATACGATAAATTTTGTAAAGAGATTTTTCGTGGAGAAATTGAAGAGCTACAAAAAAGGTTCTCATAAAAATCCCGGTATCTCTCTTGAATTTCGAGATATTCAGCAAAAACTAAAGTGTGAGAGATGCAGTGTCATTTAGCAATTCCAGTTTTTGTTGAGTATCTGGAAATGTAATGAAGATTGCGAGATGTTTGGAAAACTTTCTGTGCGGAGAAAATTAAGAGCTGTAAAATAGGTCCCCGTAGACTCGAGGGCCGCAAGGGTCAAAAGGGTTATAAAAGTCATAAGTTATTAAGCGTCACGAGGGTCGCAAGAAGAAAAACTAATTACCGTGGCAGGAACGCGACCTTTGTGTTATGTGTAACGCGGAATATACAATACCCCGTTTCGAAGGTAATGCGAGATGTTATCTAACGAGTTGATGGAAGCATGAGGAATTTCTTCCGTTCTGTTCGGGGGTTTCACCCTCTACCTCTAGAGGCCTAGAGGCGTGCGCTCGGGTGTTGGGGAGGGGGCAATGCGAGAGCGCGGCGATTCGGTGAAGTGGGAAACGTGTCTAAAAGCCAATTGATGACATATTATTGTTGCATCGTTTTTTAGCGAATATCTCCGAAGCTACGCCAGATACGATAAATTTTGTAAAGAAATTTTTCATGGAGAAATTGAAGAGCTACAAAAAAGGTTCTTATAAAAATCCCAGTATCTCTCTTGAATTTTGAGATATTCAGCAAAAACTGAAGTATGAAAGATTCCGTGTCATTTAGCGAGTCCAGTTTTTGTTGAGTATCTGGGAATGTAATGGAAATCGCGAGATTTTTGGAAAACTTTTTTTGTGGAGAACATTAAGAGCTATAAAAAAGGTCACACGGGTCACACAAGGGTCACGAGGTTCCCAAGGGACACAAGGGTTACAGTAACATCAACACCGCATAGCTCAAGATATTCTGCTGGAATTTTTGACTCGAGTCGAAAATTTCGTTGNGGGGGGGGGGGGGGGGGGGGGGGGGGGGGGGGGGGGGGGGGGGGGGGGGGGGGGGGGGGGGGGGGGGGAGAGATCCTTCAATGGCGAAAAATACTCGACTTCATGCAGTGCCATCCTTCGCAAAATTTTGTTCTCAAGAATCCGTTGGCACGCTTTTTGCAATATCCCGGAGGGCCTCACCAAGGATAACATTCATGCCATCTGTTTCGCTCGGTTCCCACGCTTCCGCCGGCCCCATCAAGTATTTCATTCCCTCTCCCACTCTTACTCCCTCTCACCGCGGACATATACAAACGAGGAATTACTATTATTAGTGTACATCGCTGCAAGGGATTACAACGGGCAAACACACAACTACAAGCAAATACTCCCAGAGTTGGTGAAGATGAGAGGATAACTCTTCACTACATCGACAAGACCGCACCTCATGCTTCTCTATTTCCCTATTCAGTGCCCTCACTTTTGTTGTGTACTGAACGGGGTTTATTGCATTCATATGTAACTATTGGAAAAAATCCAATGGGTCAAATTCAATCTGTAAATTTTTTTTATTTTTTCCAATGAAATAATGGATTTTTTTCTCCAAAATAATTATTTGAATATAATTATTTTTTGAAAAAAAAGTAGAAAAAAGCGTTTTTTTTTAATCCTCTATTTTAAAAAAATGTTTTAATTATTTTCAAAAAATCGAATTTTAAAAAATCAGTTTTTTGAAAAAAAGTCAATTTTTCCAACTTTGATTTTTAGGAAATTGAAAAAAATTGTTTAAATTTTTTAAAAAATGAATAAAAGTTTTGTCGAAAATAAAAATTTATTTTAAAAAATCAAACAGAACCCTTTCGATTTCTTAAATTAAGGCAAAAAAATTTGATGTCATAACAAACAGTTTTTTTCGTTCAAATGAAAAAAGGGTATTATGGGTTTTTATGTAATTAACAAACCTCATCAGCAATAATCGGTGCTTTGTCCATAATATTATCATTGATAGGACTTGGTGGTGAGATGGGAGTTGAGCTTGGACTAAGATGAAACTTAGCAGACTCCTTGGTTGGTCTCTGAGGTGAGACCCTGGCAGGAAAGCTCAGGGTCTTGGTCCACTGTGACAATCCCCTCACCATCGTCAATCACTCAAAAATCGAGTTTATTTTCCACACTCAACGAAAACCACTTCAAACAATGGAAAAGAAATCGGCGAAACGTCCAGTTGGAATTCAGTTCCAAGAAGAAAAAATTACAAAAACAATGATAACACTGGGAGAAACTGCGGCTTCACGCTCCGACAACGCGTGTATCCGGTCGAGGTGATTGCATCGACTACAGTATGAAGGTTCGAGAACGATTTGATACTCGGGGGGGAGTAAAAACGAAAATTTTCGAGTTGAAATTTCCCTGGACGCGCGGGAGATGTGACTCGCTCGGATTGCTCTCACTGACTGAACCCGAACGCTCCGGGTCCAGCCACCAGTCAGGAGCCAGTTGTCGACCGAAAGAGAGAGAAAGAGGAGAGAGAGAGAGAGAGAGATTGCGGCGAAGATCCCCCACCTGGGGCCGGGCCACACGACTCTCTCGAGCCGTTCATCAGGTCTGGATGTGTGGGTATACGTATCACTCACACCATGCCACAGAACGATTAGATTGAGAGCCGAGTGAAGAGTGAAGAATGGGGCTGGCTGGGAGGGAGATGAACTATTCTGAATGCCTGAGTTATGAATACATGCAGTATCAAATTTAATTCAATTCGGGGGGTAATTTAATAGAGCTGGGGCCGCCTGAAGGGGGAGAATTAATTTTTTTGGGTCTTTTGGTCCCGAATGGAGACTTTGTCACCGTTCAAATTCAAGTTCTGAATTTTTTGGGTACGAAAAGTCCAAAAATTCAATTTAAAGTAGCTCTACACTTACGGTAAATTCAAAGATTATTGGAAACTGCAAAAAATTGCAGAAAACTCGATTAGATTCGGAATTCTAATTTTTTTCTCAATTTAATTATCGTTTTGGTTTTGCAACGAAGAAATGTTTAAAAATCAGGATTTAACCCAGTGTCTTAGGTGAAAATCAACATTTCCATTGTAATTAAAGATTAAAATCTGAATTTTTTTTCATTAGATGTGGAAAAGTCAAGAATTTTTTTGATACCTCATAAAAAACAATCCACCGTTTTGCAAATAAATTTTATCATTTATTTATGAGGGAAATGTTTTAAAAAATATCAATATTTTGCCAAATTTAACACATCACAGACATTACTGACTGGATATGAATTTTTTCAAATTTTTTCCATGTAATTTAGTTGAAAAATTAAAAAACTGAAAATATCCAAAAGTACAGCGTAGCCCGGCCGAAAATAGCTATGCTGTATGAAGACAAAAGCAATTTCCCACGTGTCCAATACAAAAAAAAATATTTTGAAAGAAATTAGGGAATTTTTGTTGTTCCAAAAATTTATGCATGGGGGATTATCCACAGAATGCAGATTCATATTATTATTCAATTTTCTCGGATGAAACAATTTCTGCTGACAATCTCAAATAAAACAATTTTCTTAATTCAAACAATTTTAAATTGTACAATTTTTTTCTCTCTTCATAATAATCAATCAAAGCACATCTCCCTGTGTCAATCTCCAAATGAAAACCCATACATTCCACTAAATTGTGTGCTCATGTATCACATTCCACGGGACAGAACAATATTTACTTTCGTATACACGACATGACGTCGAATACCGGAATTCTATCGATCGACATTGTGAAGGGAACGATGTAAATAAGACCTAATACAACCGAAATTCATCGCCCTGACGAATATCAACTCTCATTCATTGGGATGACAAGATACTCCTAATAAATTTTCCCCTACCCTAGTGGAAAAACATTGAGATGGAAAACAAAGATGGAGGCGTAACATGCCTGATTAGAATTTCGGATCGGACTTGATCAGTTTCCGATCGAGACCTGAACAGAATGGCCACTCGGGTATGAGTCAATTTGAGAGGGAAATTCGTAAGTGTCCTGGTAACTCAGGTGGTAAGAGCACCCGACGCGACATTGGGAGGTCCCGGGTTCGGTTCCCGGCTAGGAAGTTACTAATTTTTTCTCTCAAAAAAATTAAATTTAATTAATGCCTAATGATGGTAGATGGAGAAACCCTAGTGGAAAAACGTAAGGTGGAGGCGTAACATGCCTGATCAGAATTTCGGATCGGACTTGATCAGTTTCCGATCGAGACCTGAACAGAATGGCCACTCGGGTATGAGTCAATTTGAGAGGGAAATTCGTAAGTGTCCTGGTAACTCAGGTGGTAAGAGCACCCGACGCGACATTGGGAGGTCCCGGGTTCGGTTCCCGGCTAGGAAGTTACTAATTTTTTCTCTCAAAAAAATTAAATTTAATTAATGCCTAATGATGGTAGATGGAGAAACCCTAGTGGAAAAACGTAAGGTGGAGGCGTAACATGCCTGATCAGAATTTCGGATCGGACTTGATCAGTTTCCGATCGAGACCTGAACAGAATGGCCACTCGGGTATGAGTCAATTTGAGAGGGAAATTCGTAAGTGTCCTGGTAACTCAGATGGTAAGAGGACCCGATGCGACATTGGGAGGTCCCGGGTTCGGTTCCCGGCTAGGAAGTTACTAATTTTTTCTCTCAAAAAAATTAAATTTAATTAATGCCTAATGATGGTAGATGGAGAAACCCTAGTAGAAAAACGTAAGGTGGAGGCGTAACATGCCTGATCAGCATTTCGGATCGGACTTGATCAGTTTCTGATCGAGACCTGAACAGAATTTCCACTCGGTTAATAGTATATTTCGATACGAGTGCGCAATAGTACTAGCATAAAGCTTCGCTTTATGCATGAAAATTCTCTTTACGCACGCCATGCGGAAAACGATCACTTTACGCGTACTAAACCGTTTCGAAAAGGGCACTTATCAGGCAGGTATCGCCAAATAGTATATTTCGATACGAGTGAGATGAAATTTTTACGAGTGTGAAGTTGAAACACTCGAACAATATTTTTTGCCAGTGATGTTACGATCAGCGATCGATTTCTAATAAAATTGTGAATATAAATAAATTTATTACGATTCTGAACATGATTTTTATGGTGGACAATTGATTGTTTATAAATTATTTACAGAAAATGCTCGTAATTTTTAAAAATCTCAGTTTTTAAATTATTTCATCAATTGTCCTCAAAAAGTAAACTTTTCAATTTGTATTCTTCAGATTTTTAAAATGTTTTCTAACGGTTCAACATCGAGATTCAAATTCATCGAGATTTAAACCTGCAAAGTTTAAATAATAAAATCATTGTAAAATATCCGGAGACTCAGGGTCAAATGGGGGTCAAGTGAAAGCTCTGATGTTCGACTAGAAACGCAGAAAAGCATTTCACTGGAGAAAAAATAACCAAAGTACTTCGATATCCTTAAATTTGAACTATTACAAAGTTCTCATTCAGAAGCAAAACAAAAACGTAATTTTTCGAACCATTAAATTAATCGCAGGGGCCGTCCCACTCGGATATCCTCAACAGCCCCTACCTAATGAAAACGGAGTGCATAATCATCAATCTCAATATATGTACTTCTACAATAACAGTCTGTGGTAGGGGTTTGAGCCCCGATGGGGTTTGAAAGCCTTAAATTTTATTCCTACCAGCATATGCTGTTGGTTTCGGAGAACCATCTGGTGGACATGAGCCCCTCCGGAACAATCTCAATATTTCCACTTCCAATTCAATTCCGAAAACTTCAACTCTGAACTTAACAATACGAATTAAAGCAGCTTTGCCCTTAAAGATCGAGTCATTGAGTGTCTTCATAAAGACAAAATTCTAAAATCATTGTTTTTAGGCCTAAATTAATGAAATTAATTACAGAGACGAACATAAGAATTATTTCATTCTTTAATTTTTTCGTCAAGACTTTCCGCCCTTGGGGGCAACTTTCCACCCTAGGGCGGAAAGTACTCACTTTCCTCCCGCTCATCAGACAGCAAAATACAAACTTTCCTTTGCAGGCGTGTTAAAAAATAGCATGTGCATCTCGAGCGGGAAAACATGACTTTCCGCCCTTGATGCACAATATACGATTCCCATGAATATCGAACTATATTGTTATAACCTAAAATAGTATATTTCTAACCTAGGGAGGGAAAATAAAGGATCCTCAGCCGCCAGTGCAATTACCAGCCGAGCCGAAGGCGAGGTTGGTAAGCACGCGGCTGAGGGTCCTTTATTTTACTTCCCGTGGTTAGAACGCGATTTTCCGTCTCGGCGTAGGCGCAAAGTCAGAGTTCCCTCCCGCGAAGTGGGAGGGAAATGTAACTTTACGCCCGCCGGGACGGAAAGTTACTTTTTCGCACAGCGAGATGAAAAATATGGTTCGACGCATGTGAGACGGGAATTTTCAATTCGCGTGATTGGCAGCCCTCGGAAAATTCCGTCTCACTCGTATTGAAATCTACTATTTCGGACTTTTTGGATCATACTGAGTCGATATAACACACAAAATCCAAAACTTCAATTTAAACGATTACAAAGCTCCCATTCGGAAGCAAAAAAAATTAACGATAAATCGTGATTGAACAAGTGCCAATATTTTCCATTATTTTCCTCACAAAAAAATTTCACCGGTTTTTCAGCCAGGGAATGTTCAATGTGGAGTGGGTTTTTTCACTTGGAAAATCTGTGGAATATTCGGTTTGAAAACTGTGTTAAATTTTCAGATGAATATTATGTGGAAATTTGTGATGAAAAATTGGTGTGGAATTTTGGCCCGGCCAGGGCTCGAACCTGGGAGCTTGAGGTTGTGAATCTCATGCTGGTACCAAGTGCGCCACACAGCCGGGTTTTTTCCTCACATTTTTAGAAAAAAAAATCTGCCTTTAATCTTTTATTTGAACGGAGATATTCAGCATTTGGAGGTTTTCGCATAATTTAAGATTCCGGGTTGAATAACGTTTTTTAAACATTTTCATTTATGAAAACCAAAACGGTAGTGAAATGATGAAAAAAATTGCAATTCCGAATCTCATCGAGTTTTCGGGTGATTGTTTGTAGTTTTGCAAAATCTTACAATTGAAAAATAATCTCCTAAGGGTAGAGCTACTTTAAATGGCTACCGATTCCATTGGATCGGGGGGAAATCATTTCACTGAATCGAGGGAAAAAATTGATTGAATAGTTGCTATAAATCTGGCATGATTAGTTGGTCGGAACCGTCAACTAAATCCGGGAAGGCCAATTCTCGAAATTACGGCACTCGACCTCGACACACCTCTCAATGCCGTTCAACACATACCTAGACATTACGGTACCCCAAGTGGACTTGGAGATTAAAGATGCCTGAGAATCGGTGGTATCTGTTCCCTGTTTATTGAGGTTTGCTGAGAGGAGTCAGGGACAATCTCTCACTGCATACCTCCGACGATAAATTTGAATTGATTTTATTTGGCGTGA